TTTTTCTCTATTAGCTATATTGTGCAACTCGTGCTCACTCTACAGGCTACAATTTTTTACAGATTCTTTTGATTTTTATTTTGTGTGTCAATGTCATTATGAAGATGATCCCTATTGATTTTCGTGATGATCGGATAATTTTTCACCGAAATATCGTGTCTGACTTGACGTTTTACTCTATTAGCTATATTGTGCAACTCGTGCTCACTCTACAGGCTACAATTCTTTACAGATTCTTTTGATTTTTATTTTGTATGTCTATGTCGTTATGAAGATGATCCCTATTGATTTTCATGATGATCTATCGATTTTCATGATGATCGGATAATTTTTCACCGAAATATCGTGTCTGACCTGACGTTTTACTCTATTAGCTATATTGTGCAACTCGTGCTCACTCTACAGGCTACAATTGTTTACAGATTCTTTTGATTTTGATTTTGTATGTCAATGTCATTATGAAGATGATCCCTATCGATTTTCGCGATGATCGGATAATATTTCACCGAAATATCGTGTCTGACTTGACGATTCACTCTATTAGCTATATTGTGCAACCCTGTAGTCACTAAAGACTTTTTAATCATTTCTGACAGCTGCCAGTGGGCGTATGTTACCTTGCCTGGCAAGCTATCTTTATCTGATTTTGATGAAACTTGGTATGATGCTTTAGATTGATAAGATCTCGGTCAAGTTCGAATTTGACATATTTTCGATGAACGGTTTTTGAGATATTGCCCTTGACTTAGAACGCCTTGAAATTTGTTAAAAATTGTTCATGAGCAGGATTGAAGCTACAGTTTTCATCCGATTCTGATGAAACTTGGTGTGATCATTGGAATTGATAAGATCTCGGACAAGTTCTAACTTGACGCATTTTCGATGAACATTTTTTTAGTTATTGCCCTTGACTTTGGCGTCGAAATTTGCTAAAAATAGTTTGTGAGCAGGATTGACGCTACAGTTTTCAACCGATTTTGATGAAACTTGGTGTGATCATTGGAATTGATAAGATCTCGGACAAGTTCTAACTTGACACATTTACGATGAACGGTTTTTAAGTTATTGCCCTTGACTTACGAAACACACGTCAAAATTTGTTTGTGAGGACAAGAAAAGCTACAGTTTTCAACCGATTTTGATGAAACTTGGTGTGATCATTGGAATTGATAAGATCTCGGACAAGTTCTAACTTGACACATTTACGATGAACGGTTTTTGAGTTATTGCCCTTGACTTACGAAACACACGTCAAAATTTGTTTGTGAGGACAAGAGAAGCTACAGTTTTCAACCGATTTTGATGAAACTTGGTGTGATCATTGGAATTGATAAGATCTCGGACAAGATCTAACTTGACGCATTTTCGATGAATATTTTTTTAGTTATTGCCCTTGACTTTGGCGTCGAAATTTGCTAAAAATAGTTTGTGAGCAGGATTGACGCTACAGTTTTCAACCGATTTTGATGAAACTTGGTGTGATCATTGGAATTGATAAGATCTCGGACAAGTTCTAACTTGACGCATTTTCGATGAACTTTTTTTTAGTTATTGCCCTTGACTTTGGCGTCGAAATTTGCTAAAAATAGTTTGTGAGCAGGATTGACGCTACAGTTTTCAACCGATTCTGATGAAACTTGTTGTGATCATTGGAATTGATGAGATCTCGGACAAGTTCTAACTTGATGCAATTTTGATGAACGGTTTTTGAGTTATTGCCCTTGACTTTGTAAAAACGCGTCAAAATTTGTTCGTGAGCACAATAGAAGCTACAGTTTTCAACGGATTCTGATGAAACTTGGTGTGATCATTGAAATTGATAAGATCTCAGACAAGTTCTAACTTGACGCATTTTCGATGAAATGTTTTTGAGTTAATGCCATTAACTTACGAAAAACGCGTTAAAATTTGTTTGTGAGCACAATAGAAGCTACAGTTTTCAACCGATTCTGATGAAACTTGGTGTGATCATTGGAATTGATAAGATCTCGGACAAGTTCTAACAAGACATAATTTTGATGAACATTTTTTGAGTTATTGCCCTTGACTTTGTAAACACGCGTCAAAAGTTGTTTTTTGACATTGATTAGAGCTGTGTGATTTAATTGTTTGTTGTATTTGGTTTATTGATATTGATTTTAAAAAATTTTGTGGAATTATTCAGCATGAATAATTTCTTCAATATGAGAATATTTGGTACTTTAGTCACTAAAGACTGTTTTATTTTTTCTGACAACTGCCAGTGGGCGTATGTTACCTTGCATCGCAAGCTATCTGAATGAAATTTGGTGTGATCAATTATATTGGTGAGATATTGGTCTGGTTTGAATTTGACATTTTTTCGATGTTATTGCCATTGACTTTGGCAAAACGCGTGGAAATTTGTTTGTAAAAATAAGAGAGGCTACAGTTTTCCACTGATTTTAATGAAATTTGGTGTGTCATTTATATTGATGAGGTTTCGGTTAAGTTAGAATTTGACGATTTTTCAATGAACCGTTTTTGACCTAGGAAAAACTTGTCAAAATTTGTTTGCGAACACAATAGAGTTATTGCCATCAACTAGGTAAAAATGCATCAAAATTTGTTGGCTTGTGAACAAGATAGAGGTAACAGTTTATGTCAGAATTTTATCTGTTCGTTTAAATCAACAATATCTATGACAAGTTAGATTTTTGGAAGGATTTGACACAGATTAGCGACCACCCTTGATATAATAAAAATTTGGGCGTATCTTGCTAAAATATTATCCATTTTTTGACACACAATATAAGATTTTTGTTATCGAAAGCGATGTTTGCTAGCTTGCTGTATACCACATTTGTCATATTGAATTGAATCTGTTGAATGTTGAACCTTTTGCTGGGTATAAACCACATCTGTAGGAATGCCACAGAGATCATATCCAAATTTGTCACAGAGAGCCACCCCATATGCCGCATCTGTAGAAATGCCATATTTTGCTAATCATAGGCACATTTGTTGCACAGCTACATTGGATGGGGTACTGAAATGGGTGGTCAGGAATTAGGGTAGGCTAATTAACCACACATCCAAATGGGTTGATAAAACTTTATTGCTTAACAAAAACCCTGAAATATTCAAAAGAAGAATATTAATTACTACAATAATACCTAAATATAAACTCTATAATACAACTATTTTCCTTGATCTTGTTATTAAAGTAATAACTAGAAATACTAACTATACAAACAGTCTTAAAACAAAATATAATACAATTATATACAAAAATACAAAAAGACTTACCCTAAGCAAAAAGGGGTTTAAGGAGTAAATCAAGCTAAAGGCTTGAATTCAACAATTGAGGTCTAGTCTACAAAGGAATAAATTGTGATAATGTAAGTTTAAGGAAATTACTGTGATGAACGTAATGCCATATAAAAATGTACCTAATGCAAAAACAGAAACCCATATGTATATAGATCCAAAATGACTACCACTTGACAATAAAATTGGCCAATATAACCTATTAACAAAATAAACAACAAAAAGAGAAATACCAAATAAGATTAACTTACCAAATATACTAATAAATCCTTCGACACAATGATATCCAAATTGAAATGAAAAATACAAATTTAAATCATTGAAGGATCTTTCTATAGTTCAATAAGGGAGTTGAAACACCTTCCACTTTGAAATATATAAAATTAATGAAAACAAAACTATAGGAAATAGTCACAATCCAGGGGTAACCAATATACACAAAGGTGAAACTAAGGACAGACCAATGGAGAGAAAGAAAAAGATGAGAAGAAATAAGCATGAGTGAGTGAAGAAAGGAAGAGTTCACTCAGTTGAACTG